AAGAATAGGAAAAAGATAAGATACAAAGAAAAAAAAAAAAAAAAAAACTGACTAATCAATTACATTTGAGACTTACACATCAATAAGGAAAGGTTGATCAATTATATAACTACGCCTGAACAGAAACACCTGAGTGAATAATACTATATTAGTATTTGTATAAGTATCAAATTTATCGGGACGACGCCAAAAAGTTCCCGAGTACACAAAAGAACGAATCACTAACAAAGCACGAGTAAGTAAGAAACGCAAGGGCCACGCGCAAAGTAAATGTATAATGTGTGGCAATATGTGACCTTAAACGATACTAATACAGAATTGATGATTTTACTCGTGTTATTAATTTTTATATTAATTTTAATTAGTTAAATGCAAAAGAAGACTTGAAGGAAGTTCGAGAACTTCACGTCATGCGAATAAACATGCGAATAAACTTTTTTTCTAATAAACACACATTCCTAAAAAACATTTCTAATAAACTAATAATCATGTCAGACCTGTCATCTATATTTTTGTAACAAGATAATTAACAATATTAACATAATACATACTGTATTAACATTATACATACTTGTATTAACATTATTATGTTATTAACAATATCGATGTGACCTAGAATAATTTAACAATTGCATATTGATACATAAAAAAAAAAAAACCTTTTTTTTTTTTTAATTAGATTGGGTCGGAGTAGTATTTGTTCAAATAACTGAATCAGGAAAATTTAAAAGACCGGTGACAAATGGTTCGCGACTCGCGTAAATGTAACACAAGGAGTCATATATCTAAAATAGGAACACTGAACTTGTACTATATAATAGAATGTTCACCAATGAATGATCTACTCGATTATTCGGTGGGAGAACAATCTTTGGCTAATCTAATTTTGGATTTAATGTCATATGTCATCGAAAAAAAATTCGAAACAGTTCAAACAGGTTTTTTTTTTCCCTTTCTTTCGAAACAAAAAGAAATACGGGGAACGCCGGAAGATATTTCAGTAAACAAGTACCTAAAATTCCAAATCTTTTTGAATAAACTAGTTTTAACTAGTGATTATCGGTTTAAATACTAGTTTTTTTTTGACACAGGTGATCCATCATAAAATCATAAAGGGTATTATTAATAAAAAATATTAATAAAGATATATTAAAAAAAAAATATTACGTATTAAAAAATATTAATAAAGGTATTTAGGTTATCGTAAAAGAAACACAAAGATTCAAGAACTCTTCTTTTTTTTTTTAAAGAAAAAAGTCGATCAATACTATTTGGGAGAATGTATTTAAATCATTGGTTAACCATATTCCTATTGAAGTATCTTCCTCCATGATT